TTTCGTTTTTCAGTTACGGGTTAAAAAAGATAGATAATAATATGCAAATCTGCAATAATGGAAACGCGACTGACAAGCAATGATAGAAATGAATGATGATGATGACTTGTTTGGTAAGCTTCTATTTTAAAAGTTTATTTCTCTCCCCCCCAAAATTTTCACAAGTTTTGCCAGGTTTAGCCTCAGTTATGAATTAAAATGTGTTTATTGCAACTAATGTAAACTGTAGAGATGCAACCTGGTCATTAAAATAATTTCAAATGGGATTTTCTTTTCAGTTTTTTTTTCTTCGTTTTCTCCCCCGTCACTTTGGCGGCCCTCAGTTCAATGTTGGGTTCCTAAATTGGCCCTCACCTATCAAAACTTTGAGAACCCCTGCTCTACACACACCAACTCTTACTCTACACACCAACTCTTACTCTACACACACCAACTCTTACTCTACACACACACCAACTCTTACTCTACACACACCAACTCTTACTCTACACACCAACTCTTACTCTACACACACCAACTCTTACTCTACACACACCAACTCTGACTCTACACACACCTACTCTTACTCTACACACACCAACTCTTACTCTTACTCTACACACACCAACTCTTACTCTTACTCTACACACACCAACTCTTACTCTTACTCTACACACACCAACTCTTACTCTTACTCTACACACACCAACTCTTACTCTTACTCTACACACACCAACTCTTACTCTACACACACCTACTCTTACTCTACACACACCTACTCTTACTCTACACACACCAACTCTTACTCTTACTCTACACACACCAACTCTTACTCTTACTCTACACACACCAACTCTTACTCTACACACACCAACTCTTACTCTTACTCTACACACACCAACTCTTACTCTACACACACCAACTCTTACTCTTACTCTACACACACCAGCTCTTACTCTTACTCTACACACACCAACTCTTACTCTACACACACCAACTCTGACTCTACACACACCTACTCTTACTCTACACACACCAACTCTTACTCTTACTCCACACACACCAACTCTTACTCTTACTCTACACACACCAACTCTTACTCTTACTCTACACACACCAACTCTTACTCTTACTCTACACACACCAACTCTTACTCTTACTCTACACACACCAACTCTTACTCTTACTCTACACACACCAACTCTTACTCTACACACACACCAACTCTTACTCTTACTCCACACACACCAACTCTTACTCTTACTCCACACACACCAACTCTTACTCTTACTCCACACACACCAACTCTTACTCTTACTCTACACACACCTACTCTTACTCTACACACACCAACTCTTACTCTTACTCCACACACACCAACTCTTACTCTTACTCTACACACACCAACTCTTACTCTTACTCTACACACACCAACTCTTACTCTTACTCTACACACACCAACTCTTACTCTTACTCTACACACACCAACTCTTACTCTTACTCTACACACACCAACTCTTACTCTTACTCTACACACACCAACTCTTACTCTTACTCTACACACACCAACTCTTACTCTTTCTCTACACACACCAACTCTTACTCTTACTCTACACACACCAACTCTTACTCTTACTCTACACACACCAACTCTTACTCTTACTCTACACACACCAACTCTTACTCTTACTCTACACACACCAACTCTTACTCTTACTCTACACACACCAACTCTTACTCTTACTCTACACACACCAACTCTTACTCTTTCTCTTCACACACCAACTCTTACTTTCTCTACACACACCAACTCTTACTTTCTCTACACACACCAACTCTTACTCACACACACACTTAGAGTAAGAGTTGGTGTGTGTAGTGTTGTGAAAGGGGCGTCTGCCAGCGCTGGCATCTCTCATTTATTTTTAAACCATCTTCGGACTTGTTAGTGTGTGTTCTGCTGTCCGGCGCTGAGGAAGCGCTTTGGGTCGGAGAGGAGGTGTGCTGTTCAGATGCTTGAGTTTAAAAGTGAATTTCAAAGAGGTTTGAAACATGAGCTGGTGTGGATTGCATTAATTACGGGGAGTCTCTCGAAACCTCCCAGGAATGTGTCCTAGTAATGGAGGAGCAGGGAATACGACGTGCACCTACAGCCTAGTTTCAGTGTTCATATCTCCCACTCAAGTCTCATTCTTGTTAGTGGTGTATGCCCATCAACTGTTACCAGTGGGGTCATTTTCTTGTGTGCAAGACATTAACAAAATATGTTAAATGTTCTTTGGTTGTGTGTAAAAATGTTTTTAATATTATTTACATCACATACAAAGTGTGCCCTCTACTGGCCATTATCCTTTTATGCTCTACGGATTGTAAAGGGAGAAAGAGCTTTTCCTGTAAATTTTTTTTATCATTTTGCCTGTTATTAATGCATATAAATGCATCCATTTTGGCACAGATGTGTATTTTTATTGGAATTGTACTTTTTTTTTTTTTTTTTTTTTTTTTTTTATATAAATCTGTTTTGCATTAGTAACACACAATAGTTTCTCTCAGGACCTTCAGGACAAAAATCTCCCCATTGAAACTGCAATTTTTAATCCCACTTTAACTTTAAAATGATGCAATCTTACTTAGTAGGCTTTAAATCTGCTGGCAAAGCTTCAAAATTTAAATGTGTACTTTTTAAAATAATTTTTCAGATGGAGCCATTTTCTCAGGTTTGGCCTATAAAGCAAAAACTCGCTTCATATTATAGAGCTAATTGGATCAATTTTGCAGCTGTAATTGTGTGTTGGTGTGGATGTCAGAGTGTGGTTTGTATGTGTGTAATAAAAACAATTGTGTGTGTGTGTGTGTGTGTGTAATATTTGAGAGAGAAACTCCACTGCGAATCACAGATCCAAACACAGTGAGTTTTGCTGCATCTAGTGGGGAAGATCTGGTACTGCGCCCAAACACACTCTCTCTGAAAGCTCATTTGTGGAACACGACTTATGACTTTGATTTTCTAGCAGTTTTAGAGGTCAACATAATTTCATTATTTTATATTATATATATTTATATTATATTATCTTAAACCTCTATAACTTTCTTTTTGGTTTCACTTTTACTTCAACAATAATCTACCATGGGTCTTCTTTAAAATGAGTCCAACCTTAAGTCTGAGCTCCCAAGCTGCACATTTGTATGGATCTATGTGTAACTTTTTTTTTTAAATTGACGCACAAGTGTTAATATCAGACCCAAACGGTCTCTGAGGCACTTGTCGAAGTCTTGGACCCAATCCCGCTCTGGTCTCAGGTCGAACTCTGGGTTTTAGACCCAAGTGGACCTTTAACTGCTTTACATTTGCTTACCGGGCGCATTACAGAAAGTTAATCAAAACTTCACTTAATGAAAAGCACCACTTACTTTGTTTCTCCATTTTAAGCTCAGTTATTTCTATTATCTGAGTTTTTCCGTTTTACTTCACAGAGGCTGTTGGTTGCTTGGTAACAGACCTGAGAGTTGATCACCAAACTCGATTTCCTAACTAACTACAGAGAAAGATGAGATTTTGTAAGATAGGATAAAAATCCTAAATCAACCTAAGATTTGCTTCTGTAATACAAATTTGTGGAAAATCCTAAATTAACTTATCAGATCTTAACTTAAAGGGGTCGTCGGATGCCTATTTTCCACAAGTTGGGATGATTGTTTAGGGTCTTCATGTAAAGTTTGTAATATACTTTGGTTAAAATTCCTCTTGTCTCTTTAAATGATAATGAGGTGCATGTCTCTTTAAATGATAATGAGGTGCATGTCTCTTTAAATAATGAGGTAATGTGGTGCATGTCTCTTTAAATGATAATGAGGTAATGTGGTGCATGTCTCTTTAAATGATAATGAGGTAATGAGGTGCATGTCTCTTTAAATGATAATGAGGTGCATGTCTCTTTAAATGGTAATGAGGTGCATGTCTCTTTAAATGATGAGGTAATGAGGTGCATGTCTCTTTAAATGATAATGAGGTAATGTGGTGCATGTCTCTTTAAATGATGAGGTAATGAGGTGCATGTCTCTTTAAATGATAATGAGGTAATGTGGTGCATGTCTCTTTAAATGATAATGAGGTGCATGTCTCTTTAAATGATAATGAGGTAATGTGGTGCATGTCTCTTTAAATGATGAGGTAATGAGGTGCATGTCTCTTTAAATGATAATGAGGTAATGTGGTGCATGTCTCTTTAAATGATAATGAGGTGCATGTCTCTTTAAATGATAATGAGGTGCATGTCTCTTTAAATGATAATGAGGTAATGAGGTGCATGTCTCTTTAAATGATAATGAGGTGCATGTCTCTTTAAATGATAATGAGGTGCATGTCTCTTTAAATGATAATGAGGTAATGAGGTGCATGTCTCTTTAAATGATAATGAGGTGCATGTCTCTTTAAATGATAATGAGGTGCATGTCTCTTTAAATGATGAGGTAATGAGGTGCATGTCTCTTTAAATGATAATGAGCTCATTTGAGCTCCCCCCTCTCTTCCGTGGGGCGTGTCGACACAAGACACATAAAGTGATGCCAGTATACAAATAGATGAGGGCGGAAATATGCTAATACGGGAAATATGCTAAAACGGGACAGTCCGTCAGCGGTCGTGGGCGGAGCATGAGCAATATGACATCATATTGCTCAGAAAATCCAAGCGGCTTGATTTATTAAGAGTGTTTTGGCTTTTTGAGGATTAAAATTATTATTATTTTTTTTTCTTTCTTTGTATGTTGGTTGTGTCCACACACTGCAAAAACACATTTATATGCAAACACCATATAAAAGTGAATTTTGCATCTGACGACCCCTTTAAGACTTAAGATAGTTTCTGTAATACGCCCCCATTTAGTAGGACATCCATATAGATGAAAGTAGTGTGTGGTTGGATACAGAAATGAATGAATGAAATAAGTTCTCTGGTTGTCCAGCGATTGAAGCTCCTGTAGTGTTGAATAAGCCTCTCTCTCTCTCTGTGTGTGTCCCAGCAGGACTCGGGCTCGTACCCCTCGAGTGCGCACGTGCCGGGCCCGGGGACCAGCATGCCTCCGCAGCCCAACAGCACCGGCATCAGCAGTGTGCCGGCGAGCCACAGTAGCGCGGCCTACATGAAGCAGATGCAGATGCTGAGCCAGCAGCAGAAGCAGCTCCTGCAGAGGCAGATCATGGCCGAGGCGCAGGTGCGGCACCGCTTACCCACAATACACCACTATACACCACTATAGCACCGCTATACACCACTATAGCTCCACTATACACCACTATAGCTCCACTATACACCACTATAGCTCCACTATAGCTCCACTATACACCACTATAGCTCCACTATACACCACTATAGCTCCACTATACACCACTATAGCTCCACTATACACCACTATACACCACTATAGCTCCACTATACACCACTATAGCACCGCTATACACCACTATAGCTCCACTATACACCACTATAGCTCCACTATAGCTCCACTAAACACCACTATACACCGCTATACACCACTATACACCGCTATAGCTCTACTATACACCGCTATACACCACTATACACCACTATAGCTCCACTATACACCACTATAGCTCCACTATACACCACTATAGCTCCACTATACACCACTATAGCTCCACTATACACCACTATAGCTCCACTATAGCTCCACTATACACCACTATAGCACCGCTATACACCACTATAGCTCCACTATACACCACTATAGCTCCACTATACACCACTATACACCACTATAGCTCCACTATACACCACTATAGCACCGCTATACACCACTATAGCTCCACTATACAACACTATACACCACTATACACCACTATAGCTCCACTATAGCTCCACTATAGCTCCACTATACACCACTATACACCGCTATACACCACTATACACCGCTATAGCTCTACTATACACCGCTATAGCTCCACTATACACCACTATAGCTCCACTATACACCACTATAGCTCCACTATACACCACTATAGCTCCACTATACACCACTATAGCTCCACTATACACCACTATAGCTCCACTATAGCTCCACTATACACCGCTATACACCGCTATAAACCGCTATAAACCACTATACACCACTATAGCTCCACTATACACCGCTATACACCACTATAGCTCCACTATACACCACTATACACCACTATAGCTCCACTATACACTGCTATACACCACTATAGCTCCACTATACACCACTATAGCTCCACTATACACCACTATACACCACTATAGCTCCACTATACACCACTATAGCACCACTATAGCTCCACTATACACCACAATACACCACTATACACCACTATAGCTCCACTATACACCACTATACACCACTATAGCTCCACTATAGCTCCACTATACACCACTATAGCTCCACTATACACCACTATAGCTCCACTATAGCTCCACTATACACCACTATAGCTCCACTATACACCACTATAGCTCCACTTTACACCACTATACACCACTATAGCTCCACTATACACCACTATAGCACCACTATACACCACTATAGCTCCACTATACACCACTATAGCTCCACTATAGCTCCACTATAGCACCACTATACACCACTATACACCACTATAGCTCCACTATACACCACTATAGCTCCACTATACACCACTGAGCTATACACCACTATAGCTCCACTATACACCGCTATACACCACTATAGCTCCACTATACACCACTCCACTATACACCACTATAGCTCCACTATACACCGCTATACACCGCTATAAACCACTATACACCACTATAGCTCCACTATACACCGCTATACACCACTATAGCTCCACTATACACTGCTATACACCACTATAGCTCCACTATAGCTCCACTATACACCGCTATAGCTCCACTATACACCACTATAGCTCCACTATACACCACTATACACCGCTATACACCACTATACACCACTATAGCTCCACTATAGCTCCACTATACACCACTATACACCGCTATACACCACTATACACCGCTATACACCACTATACACCACTATAGCTCCACTATAGCTCCACTATACACCACTATAGCTCCACTATACACTGCTATACACCACTATAGCTCCACTATACACCACTATAGCTCCACTATACACCGCTATAGCTCCACTATACACCGCTATAGCTCTACTATACACCACTATAGCTCTACTATACACCACTATAGCTCCACTATACACCGCTATACACCACTATAGCTCCACTATAGCTCAACTATACACCGCTATACACCACTATAGCTCCACTATACACCGCTATACACCACTATAGCTCCACTATACACCGCTATACACCACTATAGCTCCACTATACACCACTATACACCACTATAGCTCCACTATAGCTCCACTATACACCACTATACACCACTATACACCGCTATACACCACTATACACCACTATAGCTCCACTATACACCACTATACACCACAATACACCACTATACACCACTATAGCTCCACTATACACCACTATACACCACTATAGCTCCACTATAGCTCCACTATACACCACTATAGCTCCACTATACACCACTATAGCTCCACTATAGCTCCACTATACACCACTATAGCTCCACTATACACCACTATAGCTCCACTTTACACCACTATACACCACTATAGCTCCACTATACACCACTATAGCACCACTATACACCACTATAGCTCCACTATAGCTCCACTATAGCTCCACTATACACCACTATACACCACTATACACCACTATACACCACTATAGCTCCACTATACACCACTGAGCTATACACCACTATAGCTCCACTATACACCGCTATACACCACTATAGCTCCACTATACACCACTCCACTATACACCACTATAGCTCCACTATACACCGCTATACACCGCTATAAACCACTATACACCACTATAGCTCCACTATACACCACTATAACTCCACTATACACCACTATAGCTCCACTATACACTGCTATACACCACTATAGCTCCACTATACACCACTATAGCTCCACTATACACCGCTATAGCTCCACTATACACCACTATACACCGCTATACACCACTATACACCACTATAGCTCCACTATAGCTCCACTATACACCACTATACACCGCTATACACCACTATAGCTCCACTATACACCACTATAGCTCCACTATACACCGCTATACACCACTATAGCTCCACTATACACAACTATAGCTCCACTATACTCCACTATAGCTCCACTATACACCACTATAGCTCCACTATAGCTCCACTATACACCACTATAGCTCCACTATACACCACTATAGCTCCACTATACACCACTATAGCTCCACTATACACCACTATAGCTCCACTATACACCACTATGGCTCCACTATACACCACTATAGCTCCACTATACACTGCTATAGCTCTACTATACACCACTATAGCTCCACTATACACCACTATACACCACTATAGCTCCACTATGCACCACTATACACCACTATATACCACTATAGCTCCACTATACACCACTATACACCGCTATACACCACTATACACCACTATACACCACTATAGCTCCACTATACACCACTATAGCTCCACTATACACTGCTATACACCACTATAGCTCCACTATACACCACTATAGCTCCACTATACACCACTATAGCTCCACTATACACCACTATAGCTCCACTATACACCGCTATAGCTCTACTATACACCACTATAGCTCTACTATACACCACTATAGCTCCACTATACACCGCTATACACCACTATACACCACTATAGCTCCACTATACACCACTATAGCTCCACTATACACCACTATAGCTCCACTATACACCGCTATACACCACTATACACCACTATACCTCCACTATACACCACTATAGCTCCACTATAGCTCCACTATAGCTCCATTATACACCACTATAGCTCCACTATAGCTCCACTATACACCACTAAAGCTCCACTATACACCGCTATAGCTCCACTATACACCACTATAGCTCCACTATACACCACTATAGCTCCACTATGCACCACTATACACCACTATATACCACTATAGCTCCGCTATACACCACTATACACCACTATAGCTCCACTATACACTGCTATACACTGCTATACACCACTATAGCTCCACTATACACCACTATAGCTCCACTATACACCGCTATAGCTCCACTATACACCGCTATAGCTCTACTATACACCACTATAGCTCTACTATACACCACTATAGCTCCACTATACACCACTATACACCGCTATACACCACTATAGCTCCACTATAGCTCAACTATACACCGCTATACACCACTATAGCTCCACTATACACCGCTATACACCACTATAGCTCCACTATACACTGCTATACACCACTATAGCTCCACTATACACCACTATACACCACTATAGCTCCACTATACACCACTATAGCTCCACTATACACCGCTATACACCACTATACACCACTATAGCTCCACTATACACCGCTATACACCACTATAGCTCCACTATACTCCACTATACTCCACCATACTCCACCATACTCCACTATACACCACTATAGCTCCACTATAGCTCCACTATACACCACTATAGCTCCACTATACACCACTATAGCTCCACTATACACCGCTATAGCTCCACTATACACCGCTATAGCTCCACTATACACCGCTATAGCTCCACTATACACCACTATAGCTCCACTATACACCACTATAACACCACTATAGCTCCACTATACACCACTATAGCTCCACTATACACCGCTATACACCACTATAGCTCCACTATACACTGCTATACACCACTATAGCTCCACTATACACCGCAATACACCACTATAGCTCCACTATAGCTCCACTATAGCTCCACTATACACCACTATAGCTCCACTATAGCTCCACTATACACCACTATAGCTCCACTATACACCACTATAGCTCCACTATACACCACTATAGCTCCACTATACACCACTATAGCTCCACTATACACCACTATGGCTCCACTATACACCACTATAGCTCCACTATACACTGCTATAGCTCTACTATACACCACTATAGCTCCACTATACACCACTATACACCACTATAGCTCCACTATGCACCACTATACACCACTATATACCACTATAGCTCCACTATACACCACTATACACCGCTATACACCACTATACACCACTATACACCACTATAGCTCCACTATACACCACTATAGCTCCACTATACACTGCTATACACCACTATAGCTCCACTATACACCACTATAGCTCCACTATACACCACTATAGCTCCACTATACACCACTATAGCTCCACTATACACCGCTATAGCTCTACTATACACCACTATAGCTCTACTATACACCACTATAGCTCCACTATACACCGCTATACACCGCTATACACCACTATAGCTCCACTATAGCTCCACTATACACTGCTATACACCACTATAGCTCCACTATACACCGCTATACACCACTATAGCTCCACTATACACCGCTATAGCTCCACTATACACCACTATACACCACTATACACCACTATAGCTCCACTATACACCGCTATACACCACTATAGCTCCACTATACACCGCTATACACCACTATAGCTCCACTATACACCACTATAGCTCCACTATACACCACTATAGCTCCACTATAGCTCCACTATACACCGCTATAGCTCCACTATACACCACTATAGCTCCACTATACACCACTATAGCACCACTATACACCACTATAGCTCCACTATACACCACTATAGCTCCACTATACACCGCTATACACCACTATAGCTCCGCTATACACCACTATAGCTCCACTATACACCACTATAGCTCCACTATAGCTCCACTATACACCACTATAGCTCCACTATACACCACTATAGCTCCACTATACACCACTATAGCTCCACTATACACCGCTATAGCTCTACTATACACCACTATAGCTCTACTATACACCACTATAGCTCCACTATACACCACTATACACCGCTATACACCGCTATACACCACTATAGCTCCACTATACACCGCTATACACCACTATAGCTCCACTATACACCACTATACACCACTATAGCTCCACTATACACCGCTATACACCACTATAGCTCCACTATACACCGCTATACACCACTCGCTATAGCTCTACTATACACCACTATAGCTCTACTATACACCACTATAGCTCCACTGTACACCACTATACACCGCTATACACCACTATAGCTCCACTATACACTGCTATACACCACTATAGCTCCACTATACACCGCTATACACCACTATAGCTCCACTATACACCGCTATACACCGCTATACACCACTATAGCTCCACTATAGCTCCACTATACACCACTATACACCACTATACACCGCTATACACCACTATAGCTCCACTATACACCGCTATAGACCACTATAGCTCCACTATACACCACTATACACCACTATAGCTCCACTATACACCACTATAGCTCCACTATACACCGCTATACACCACTATAGCTCCACTATACACCGCTATACACCACTATAGCTCCACTATAGCTCCACTATACACCACTATAGCTCCACTATACACCGCTATACACCACTATAGCTCCACTATAGCTCCACTATACACCACCATAGCTCGATATATTTAATGATTTTTAAAGAAGGCTCTTCTGCTCACCAAGGCTGCATTTATTTGATTTAAAAAAAACAGTAATATTGTTAAATATTATTATTCCAGTGTAAATCAGCAGTTTTCTATGTGAATATATAGTAAAGTGTAATTTATTCCTGTGACCAAAGCTGAATTTTCAGCATCATTACTCCAGTCTTCAGTGTCACATGATCCTTCAGAAATCACTCTAATATGAGGATCTGATGCTCAAGAAACATTTATGATTATCATCAGTGTTGAAAACAGTTATTTATATTTGTATTTCAAGATTCTTTGATGAATAGAAAGTTCAGAAGAACATCATTTATCTGAAATAAAGCTTTTGTAACGTTAAACACTACATTAAGTTTGGGGTCAGTAAGATTTTTTATTTTATTTAAAAGAATCAATACATCAAGGATTAATTAAATTGATCAGAAGTGACAGTAAAGACATTTATAATGTTACAAAAGCTTTATTTCAGATAAAGGCTGTTCTTTTGAACTTTCTATTCATCAAACAATCCTGAAATAAAAATGTAAATAACAGTTTTCAGCGCTGATAATAATCATACATATTTCTTGAGCATCAGATCCTCATATTAGAGTGATTTCTGGAGGATCATGTGACACTGAAGACTGGAGTAATGATGCTGAAAATTCAGCTTTGATCACAGGAATAAATTACACTTTACTGTATATTCACATAGAAAACAGCTGATTTACACTGGAGTAATATGTAACAATATTTTTTTTTTTTTTTTTTTTTTTATCAAATAAGTGCTGCCTTGGTGAGCAGAAGAGCCTTCTTTAAGAAACATTAAAAATCTTACCGACCCCAAACTCTTGACTGGTAGTGTACATTTATCAATAATAACAATAATTCTACAATTATGTCCACAGTGTGTTGTTCACAGATCTGCCTCTAGAGGGCAGCAACCTCACAAGAGTACTGAGAAGCTAACGTGTGTGTGTGTGTGTGTGTGTCAGGAGAAGCAGCAGCAGCTCCAGAGGCATCTGACCCGTCCACCGCCCCAGTACCAGGACCAGCAGAACCCGTTCCAGCAGCAGTTCAGCACTGTGCCCTGCCTGGCCCAACAGCACCCCTCGGCCTTCCCCGAACACACACTCTCCGGTACACACACTACACACCGCCCCTTTACACCGCCAGTTACGCCTCAGATCAGGTGCCATTTAGTTAGACACGCTAGAAATTAGTGATGACCAAATATTTATATCACGGTGTGTGGTTTTTTTTTTTTCAAAATTATCTCGGCTTCACGGTATATGTTGGTTTTTATTAATTTATTTTTTTCAAGCTTGACTGAGTGTTAAACACATTTTCTGCTGAGTGAGAGAGGAGATACTGCAGTAGATTGGCTTAGAACGCCCTATTTTACTGTCATGAGTGAATATTGTAGGGAAATCCACAGTAGTATTAATACAGGTTTTGCAAGAGAGATTAAATGAAAATAACATCGAAACTTCTCTAAAGACAGTCAGTTCCCTTCAGACACACACATAAAACACTTTTGACTGTGAAGCGTGCAGTGCTCATGTTTATTCAGCGATGGCAAAGCCCGCCACAAAGAGATTCTCCAAAAGGCAGTGTTGATATTGTGAACCAATGTATGGGAAATATATAATTTGACAGCTGTCAGTTATAGTGTAAGCTCTCCGTGTTCACCGTCAGGCTCAGTAACACACACATCTGTGCTCACCAGTGAACTGTGAAAACACATTCTCAAACAGTGTCGCGTTGTTAAAGCCACATACACCAGTATTGCGGATTATTAAAAATTCATATCATTAAAAAAAAATAAACACCGGTATTATTCGGTATGACCCGGTATGAGCACTACTGTAAAGGTGATGTGGACCCATCCGCTCCTGACCAGCTGATGGAGTGATGGCCCGGTCTGGACCTGAGGCGAGGAGGAAGCTACACCTCTGCTTCCCGCGTGTGTGTGTGTGTGGCGTGAGCTTCCGTCTCTGTAGGGCAACACAAGCAGCCTTTTGTTACTCATCAACAAACAGCACACCTGATTTGCAAGTGTGTTTATTGATAGACTCATTTGAATGGCAGAAGCACAGTATGGTCAGTGTGTGGTGAGCCGTTACACACAGGCTATATCTTTTTCCTGCAAAGAGAAGCTTGTAAAATAGGCTATATAAATGTGGCGAATAGGTTTGGAAAGCAGACAAGCCCACAGTTAGAGACTCGACAGAAATGATGTGTTCTGGGTCTGGTGTAGAAGGTTGTTGGTTATGAAATTATGGAGTAAGAGAGATTGTTCAGAAAGGAATTGAAAATCCACTCTGTCTACTTTCCAAAGCCATCTCATGGATATTATTGTGAACGCCAGTTATATTTTTGCCCTTTTAATTAATATTTGGCCGATTAGGATAACGAGGTCGGCCCACGCTGGCCGATAACCCATTCATCAACCGATAGCTTTTACAGTGGATACTGAATGAAAACACACATAACACATAAAATAGTGCTGAACTTCATTACGAAACAGCGCAGAACCATGAAAATCCTCTTTTTATTTAATTTAAATAATAATATATTAATTATACATCGATGTTAGCTCATAGTGCATTAACTAATGTTACAACTTTAAAATGTACGAATGTATTAGTAAATAATGAAATCAACAACTGAACAATGCTTTTATCACCCTTAGGTAATGTGACCCTTGGACTCCAGATGTCCATCTTTAAACATCCACACAAACGCCATAGCATTGACATTAGACCTAGATGTGTATTGTGTGTGTCCTCTCACTAGCCCCATTTCCATTACACATTCGCACAATTTTGTGATATTTTCTAAATGTCGGATTAAAAAACAACTATTGCGAAATGACAGCATTTCAATTAAAAATTCCTTCCTCGAATTGCCTGAAAACCTCCTCATGCAAGCATAACTTTTTCGCGAGATATGAGTGTTTGTGAAACTGACGCGGCTAATCTTTATTTGCTTCCATTTTCGAACACCTGATGATCTAATCGAAATATGCTACAGTGATGATAAAAAAGAACCGAAATCGAATGCGTTTCTGATTGGTTTGTATGTTTCTGTCGGCTGCATGACGACTTTCTCACGTCACTAGCTTTAAATATGCCACTTCGCTGCTTAACAAATGTGTAAAAGCGACCCGCTGGATATAACCTAATGCAGACAGATGCTAACCAGCCTTACAGTAAACATTAAGGTCGGACTTGCGTGTATATTTTCTGTCACATTGTTTTAACCGCTTGAGGTACTAATGTTAGCGTCCTCTCAAACACACTGCTGTTCTCCACTAATGCAGGATCTAGTCAACACATGAACTACTTATGATATGAAAACACGTACGGTTTCATAGTTTAGCGCTCCATGAAACGGTACAGGACACTACCGTACGCGCTTTAAATCCACATGTGAAGTGTCAAAACAAACTCCACAAGCCGTGATAGTTTTTAAAACGTACGGTAGTGTACTGTACCATCACTAACGGCTTGTGGAGTTTGTTTTGACACTTCAGATGTGGATTTAAAACACACTGTGAAACGGTACAGGACACTACCGTACGCGTTTCAAATCCACATCTGAAGTGTCAAAACAAACTCCACAAGCCGTTAGGGATGGCACAGTACACTACCGTACGTTTTAAAAACTATCACGGCTTGTGGAGTTTGTTTTGACACTTCAGATGTGGATTTAAAGCGCGTACGGTAGTGTCCTGTACCGTTTCATGGTGTGTTTTGACACTTCAGATGTGGATTTGAAATGCGTACGGTAGTGTCCTGTACCGTTTCATGGTGTGTTTTGACACTTCAGATGTGGATTTAAAGCGCGTACGGTAGTGTCCTGTACCGTTTCATGGTGTGTTTTGACACTTCAGATGTGGATTTAAAGCGCGTACGGTAGTGTCCTGTACCGTTTCATGGTGTGTTTTGACACTTCAGATGTGGATTTGAAATGCGTACGGTAGTGTCCTGTACCGTTTCACAGTGTGTTTTAAATCCACATCTGAAGTGTCAAAACAAACTCCACAAGCCGTTAGTGGTAGTCTTTATTTCGCTCTAGTACTGTATAATGACAGCGAACCCTTCTCAGCCGCTCCAGCATCGCACGCAACACAGAAACATTATCGGTATGGATTTGTGCCGAATCATGTGCATCACAATGAGGACGGAAACATCCATGGCTGCTTCAGTTGAGACTTTAATCTCTTTGCAAATGTAACCGATGAAATCTCGCTGTCTCTTCTAATCATGAGTGCGGTCTACTCTGTTTTCAGGTCCATCTCAACCAATAGGAAATGTCAACGCTCTGAGTGGTGCCGCCCCCGGGACGCAGCGGATGTTCTCTCAGACGCAAAGCATGATGGGAATGGGGAACGCAGTCCCGACGCCCGGGCCCTCTCCGGCCGCCAGTCAGGCAGACATGAGTCTTCAGTCCTGCGCGGGCGGTCTGGACGTGCAGCAAGTGCTCTACGGTAACATGCCCATGCACCCCAGCCAGCAGAGGGCGCAAGTGCCCAACATGTCCAGCGCGTACCGGCAGAGCGTGCTAGCGGCGCAGCAGCAACAGGCACACCTCAAGAGCCAGCCCAACGCTGCCATGATGAAGCAGCAGCAGCAGCTAGCACGTCTTCCCAACGCCATGGCTAATGCTATGCCCACCGGTCTCCAGGGTGCCTTGCCCTCTCAAGCCCAGTCCTGGCAAACACAGGCTTCCCAGCAGCACCCAGTTCTCCAGCCCGGCTTCCACATGCAGGCCAGATTAGCCAAGCTTCCCAACAACGGCCCGTTCCCTCAGGGGGGCATGGGCAGCAGCGGGGCGGGTCGCATGAACCCTGCACAGATGATGCCCAATATGAACCAACAACGGACAAATCTGCCCCAACAGCAGACGCCCCAGCAGGGGCAAGTGCCGACCCAACCCCAGCAGGTTCTGCCGGATCTGGGGCCCTTCAGCCAGACGCAGGCCGGACCCAACCGCACCACGGCTCTCCAGTGCAATCAGGCCTACCAGCTCAACAGATCAGCCAATCAGCAGCTCCAGTTCAGCTACAACAGCCAATCAGGAGCCGGCTTATCCGGGTTCCCTGCGGAGACCGATCTGGTGGACTCGCTGCTGAAGAACCAGTCGACCCAAGAGTGGATGGACGATATAGACGAGCTGTTGGCCAGTCACCAATGAGGAGAACACGTAAGCGTGAAACGGATCGCATCTGCTGTGTTCGTGTTCTCGATCGAGTGTGTAAATGGCATAATAACAGCAGGAGCCGAGGAACACGCTCTACTACTGAACCCGTGGCTCAGTAAACCACTGAAGCGGCGAGTGTGCAGCCGCTCGCACGGGCGTGTGGACCGCAGCCATGTCTTCACTCGGGTCCACGGGCCTGAAACTTGCACTCTTGAAGATGTGATTTACAGTGAATAGTTGACCCGATAACGTCACTCACTCGCACTCAGTGTGGGTCCGAGAGTCGTGAGGTGGTGCGCTGACGGTCCAGTCCTGCTCCTGGAGGGCCGCCTGTGATAACAGCTCAAAATGAGCCTTTCATGTCCATTCATTAGGTTTAACTGCTTTTGTTAGGGAGTAGCTCATCATTTAGAGGCCGTTTGCACCGTTTTCAAGTAAAATGGAAACTTTTTTTGTGCATTTTTGGCTGGTCAACCGTTTTTGGGGCCCGAGAACGCAGACTTTTGAGAGTTTGAATGGGGATCGTATCCTGTGAGTGCGGAGCCTCCATTGGCACACACACACACACACACACACACACGTGGCCCTTCAGAGCAGGATCAGAAAACTGTGTGTATGATCATAGTTCCACTGGAGAACAGAAGAGTTTGGAAAGACATTAGGGAATAAACTCGTCTGTAGTTTCATTAAACACATGGTTTATGTTCCACATGGATTGACTAAGTTTAGAAAGTAGATGTTTGATCAAGTGTCGATGGCTTGAAGGAGTGTAGATGAGACTAATAGTGAAGAGAGCTGATGAACTCTACAATTCTCCAGTGAAAGTGGAGATCTCATCATTACACTTTCTTATGTTACACTACACTTTAATATTATTTTATTTTTTCCTGCAGTTGAGTTTGAAAGACCCGTAGTTTAGACTTGTGTTGGTGAGAGGGGTGATATTCCTGTTTGTGTTCTCCCGACGGCGTTACCTGAACTCTCTCTTCATCCCGGATTCTGTGACAGGATTTCATGTATATTTATATATATATATTTTTTGTATGTATGCAGTTTCTATTGTTCAGGAGAAGATAGATCTTATTTTTATATGTACATTGTTGCAAATTTTTGTAAGTATTTTATACTTTTTATTATGGTTCTCTGTAAAACAAGAGTATTATGTAAATATAGTTCTCTAGAAATGAGCTTGTTTGGTGTGTTTATTTAGTGTTTTATGCATGTCTTGAATCATTTGTGCATTTTAAAGGTGCATTTTAAAAATAAAAATTATATAATAATATTTCAATTAAATTAATGAGCTACATTTTAGTTCGATGATCTTTATGTAATATTTTGTCTTTTTAGGGGATTTTATGGTGCTACATTATATTTACGCAGTATTTATAATCCATTTATTAAATTTGAGCATAGACCTGAAAATTACATTTCCATCTTAAACTGGTAAATCTTGAATGCTTTGGGACACAGACTTCAGTTTGATCTCTTCTCAAAGATGACACTTGGCAGATTATTGCTGAAGTGACACAAGTTTTAAAAAGTGAACTTAAAGTTACAGAATTTTACGTTTATTGTAATGAAAAACGTGTAAAAATACTATTTTCAATTTTTACTTGAAATATATATTTTCAAAAGCACGTTTTACTCTAGAACTGTGAGTAAATGAAAGCCATAAAGCTAAGCCAGTGGTGTTCCACATGTGAGCTGATCTGCCAGTAGACGAGCGTTCAGTGAGAGTGTGTTCGGCTGCAGTACCAAACGCTTCCACTAGAGGAAACTCCTCACTCAGTTACAATGCGGGGTTGTACCAATCAAGACTTAACCCAGTTTTGATTGGAGGTTCAGGAAAGCACATTCTGGGTCTGAAACATGTGCCTAACCATCCATGGGACTGGAGGACTGGTTTGCACTGAACCAACAGTGCCAGGGAGGAAGGAAAGCTCCGCCATCTTGTTTTCTTAACTGTAGCTATCAGATTGTTTTTTGACTCATTGTATAAAAAATATTTTTCCAAACATAAACGACACGTTTTGCTAAATTTTTTAATTCTTTGAAGTCCTGTTTTAACAATGCTTGTTTCACATACACATTGTTGTTTTTTGGTAATTTTAATTGAAACCTGTTGTACCTGCTGACAAAATACTATTAGTGATGTAATGTGGGTATAATATCTGTGACCCGCCCAATCTAGTCATGCTGATATAAGTGGTTGAGGAAGAGGCAGGGCGTGTGGTTTGGACACACACACACACACACACACACACACACACACTGATGTCCCTGTCCACAGGAGTGATGCTGGATCAGGTCGTGTTGGTAGCAGCCGTCACTGTGCTGGGAATGTTGGAGCAAGGTAATTATGGGCTGGTCAAATCAATGTTGGTCAGTCTGCTCAGAGAAACACTTTATATACAGTATGATGAAAGTGCTTGAGCAACTTTAACTCTTTCAAGTAGGACAAGTGTAAGAATGGACAAATATGTTGCTGAATCATGTGATGGTTGGACTTTAAACTGACTAAAGTAACTCCAATAATCATGTAGGCTTAGGATATTATATTAGATGATTAGCCTTGAAACGAGTAAACACAGAATAAAACAATTAGAGTTACACGTCAAAATAAGGCTTGGAAGTTAGTTTGACAAACTTATTTTATCACATGTTATGTACTTAAACGACATGGGTGAGTATCCATTTATGACAAAAGATGGTATTTTAAAGATTGTTTTGGTGACAGTTGACAAAAATACTGAGACGTTTTTATCAAAATATTGAAAGATTCATTAGTTAATGAAATGACTTGCATGAACTAACGCAAGACATTTGACATTGAAGCTATTTGTTATCTTTCGTTAGTTAAAAAAAATACAGCTGTTCATTGTTTGTTCATGTTAGTTCCGTGCATAACGTTAACACGATTTTAATAAATGATTAGTAGGCTAAATTCTGTTGGGGAAAAACAAAGATTAATAAATTCTAACTAATGTAGGCTACTGGTTAACTAATGAAGCTTATTGTACCTTTTGTATTGAATCTTATTGTAAGATAAAGTGTTACCAAAATATGTTCTATTCTGTTCCGATTACAGAATTATGAACTATCCCTTTAAGATTTGTCAGAACAAAAAAAGATTATCAGATATACATTCACTGAAACGAGTGTTAATATCTTTTTGCTTCTCAGGTGAATGTCTGACAGCTACAGCTTATTTGAATTAAAGACCAAACATCCGGATTAAGAACGGGATATTTTGCCATGTGTGTTAGAAATTTGTTTGCCTTATTAAAGCAATAAGCCCATTAGCCGTGTTTTACACATAGACAGTAAAATAGCCTATTAAATCCCCTCAGCTGTTCTAAATTCACTGTAAAACACGGCTTCAAGGGCCTTATTGCTTTTATAAAACGGTTACTCCATAAGAATATTCATTTTAATATTTAAAATTCATAAAATAAACACCAGCAACAACAAAAATATATAACGTTATAACACATTTATTCCTGCGCCAAGCAATGTAGTTCCAAAGAGGTTGCCAAGCAACAAAGATCACAAACGGCAGTTGCGCAGTAATACGAATGTAATGCGGTCACAGGTGTATGTTTGTTGAGTAATTTTCAACGGCTTCGAACGCGGTTTAACCAATCAGAATCAAGGACGGCGGAACTATCCGTTTTATAATAAGTTAAAATCTGCAAGCCGGTGTTAAGGGATAATGTATTATTATTAATTATACAATTATTATTATATTATTACATTATCCCGCTTATTACACAGCTGCTTCCCACATAAGTAAATAATTAAACACTAAATATTGATCTGAGTTGAAATATTTTATTAGGTCTTTAAACACAAAGCTTCGCGGAGAGAGCAGTTTCAGCGGCGAGTTCAGATTAAACTGTATTAAAATCGTACCCGTTTGTATTTTATAATCCAACAGTGTACAAAACAATAGACACAAAATGGCCGCCGCTGCGTTTACGAAACAAGAGCGAGTCCACGATACTGGATGGCATAATTAAATAACTACACAAACAATGTATTCGACTGAGTTTTAATATTTTATTAGCTCACCAAATGCAAAACTTCCTCAAGGAAAACCTGATCCTAGCGAGCGTATAGCGCTGAGGACTGCAGTGACCCGGATGAGCCTGTGTTTCTGTGTTCAGCGGCTGTTATCTGGGAATAATCACACTGCTGGATGGAGCGATTGACCAATCAGAATCAAGCATTCCACAGAGCCGTGTGTAATAATGGTGCGTTCAAGTCTAAAGATCATATTTACTAGTTGAACGCACGCCACCACAATGTTGTAAATACGAGTGGGAAGCTCTGGATTTTCTGTAAGCCCCGATCTTTACGAGTTGTGAGTGAGAAGCATGGAGGAATACCACAATACTTATTTATCAGTGATTATTGTGTAATTAATTAAGATAAAGTACACCGCCATCTTACGCCAACGAACGTGACTTGAACGCACCATGGTAAACACGCCTTCCCACCTTGTAAATACGAACTTCCAAGGAAGACTTGAACGCACCGTAACATAACACTGGATGGCGCTATTGACCAATCAGAATCAAGCATTCCACAGAGCCGTGTAATAACCATAGACTGTAGGTAATAACATGTTTATTCCCTGTTTCCCTCAGCGTACTTCTCCCTGAAGGTGATCTACGCGCGCCGCAAGTACTCGGTCTCTCCGCCCGCCACCACCGGCCCACCCGAGTTTGAGCGGGTCTTCCGAGCCCAGTGAGTCCCAGAACCGCACTTACACACATGATCGCAATGCTGAGAGGCTTTGTCTCATATGTCTGTCATCATCTTGCTTTTCCAGAGCGAACTGTTCAGAGTATTTCCCCATTTTCATCTTCTCACTGTGGCTGGCTGGAGTTTTCTTCAGTCAAGGTGAGTCTCTCTCAACTGAAAGACCATCATCATCATTAGGTAGACTACTGCCGACTTTCTTCTCAAAGTAGAACATATTCATTAATTATGTTTCCGCCACTGAATAAAAAACGTAATTGCGACTTTTTATCTCACAATTCTGACTTTCTTCTCGTGTGATATAAACTCACAATTCTGACTTTTTTCCAAAAATTGCGAGATATAAAGTCGCAATTCTGAGTTATAAACTCGAGAATTGTTATAGTCAGAATTGGGAGATATAAACTCGGAAATTGTTATAAAGTCAGAATTGGGAGATATGAACTCTCAATAGTGTGTTATAAAGTCAGAATTGGGAGATATGAACTCTCAATAGTGTTATAAAGTCAGAATTGGGAGATATGAACTCTCAATAGTGTGTTATAAAGTCAGAATTGGGAGATATGAACTCACAATAGTGTGTTATAAAGTCAGAATTGGGAGATATGAACTTTCAATAGTGTTATAAAGTCAGAATTGGGAGATATGAACACTCAATAGTGTGTTATAAAGTCAGAATTGGGAGATATGAACTCTCAATAGTGTTATAAAGTCAGAATTGGGAGATATGAACTCACAATAGTGTGTTATAAAGTCAGAATTGGGAGATATGAACTCTCAATAGTGTTATAAAGTCAGAATTGGGAGATATGAACTCTCAATAGTGTGTTATAAAGTCAGAATTGGGAGATATGAACTCTCAATAGTGTGTTATAAAGTCAGAATTGGGAGATATGAACTCTCAATAGTGTTATAAAGTCAGAATTGGGAGATATGAACTCTCAATAGTGTGTTATAAAGTCAGAATTGGGAGATATGAACTCTCAATAGTGCTATAAAGTCAGAATTGGGAGATATGAACTCACAATAGTGTGTTATAAAGTCAGAATTGGGAGATATGAACTCTCAATAGTGTTATAAAGTCAGAATTGGGAGATATGAACTCTCAATAGTGTTATAAAGTCAGAATTGGGAGATATGAACTCACAATAGTGTGTTATAAAGTCAGAATTGGGAGATATGAACTCTCAATAGTGTTATAAAGTCAGAATTGGGAGATATGAACTCTCAATAGTTTGTTATAAAGTCAGAATTGGGAGATATGAACTCACAATAGTGTGTTATAAAGTCAGAATTGGGAGATATGAACTCTCAATAGTGTTATAAAGTCAGAATTGGGAGATATGAACTCTCAATAGTGTTATAAAGTCAGAATTGGGAGATATGAACTCTCAATAGTGTGTTATAAAGTCAGAATGGGAAGATATGAACTCTCAATAGTGTTATAAAGTCAGAATTGGGAGATATGAACTCTCAATAGTGTGTTATAAAGTCAGAATTGGGAGATATGAACTCTCAATAGTGTTATAAAGTCAGAATTGGGAGATATGAACTCTCAATAGTGTTATAAAGTCAGAATTGGGAGATATGAACTCTCAATAGTGTTATAAAGTCAGAATTGGGAGATATGAACACTCAATAGTGTGTTATAAAGTCAGAATTGGGAGATATGAACTCTCAATAGTGTTATAACGTCAGAATTGGGAGATATGAACTCTCAATAGTGTTATAAAGTCAGAATTGGGAGATATGAACTCACAATAGTGTGTTATAAAGTCAGAATTGGGAGATATGAACTCTCAATAGTGTTATAAAGTCAGAATTGGGAGATATGAACTCTCAATAGTGTTATAAAGTCAGAATTTGGAGATATGAACTCACAATAGTGTGTTATAAAGTCAGAATTGGGAGATATGAACTCTCAATAGTGTTATAAAGTCAGAATTGGGAGATATGAACACTCAATAGTGTGTTATAAAGTCAGAATTGGGAGATATGAACTCTCAATAGTGTTATAACGTCAGAATTGGGAGATATGAACACTCAATAGTGTGTTATAAAGTCAGAATTGGGAGATATGAACTCTCAATAGTGTTATAAAGTCAGAATTGGGAGATATGAACTCTCAATAGTGTTATAAAGTCAGAATTGGGAGATATGAACTCTCAATAGTGTTATAAAGTCAGAATTGGGAGATACGAACTCTCAATAGTGTGTTATAAAGTCAGAATTGGGAGATATGAACTCTCAATAGTGTTATAAAGTCAGAATTTGGAGATATGAACTCACAATAGTGTGTTATAAAGTCAGAATTGGGAGATATGAACTCTCAATAGTGTTATAAAGTCAGAATTGGGAGATATGAACACTCAATAGTGTGTTATAAAGTCAGAATTGGGAGATATGAACTCTCAATAGTGTTATAACGTCAGAATTGGGAGATATGAACACTCAATAGTGTGTTATAAAGTCAGAATTGGGAGATATGAACTCTCAATAGTGTTATAAAGTCAGAATTGGGAGATATGAACTCTCAATAGTGTTATAAAGTCAGAATTGGGAGATATGAACTCTCAATAGTGTTATAAAGTCAGAATTGGGAGATACGAACTCTCAATAGTGTGTTATAAAGTCAGAATTGGGAGATATGAACTCTCAATAGTGTGTTATAAAGTCAGAATTGGGAGATATGAACTCTCAATAGTGTTATAAAGTCAGAATTGGGAGATATGAACTCTCAATAGTGTTAAAAAGTCAGAATTGGGAGATATGAACTCTCAATAGTGTGTTATAAAGTCAGAATTGGGAGATACGAACTCTCAATAGTGTGTTATAAAGTCAGAATTGGGAGATATGAACTCACAATAGTGTGTTATAAAGTCAGAATTGGGAGATACGAACTCTCAATAGTGTGTTATAAAGTCAGAATTGGGAGATATGAACTCACAATAGTGTGTTATAAAGTCAGAATTGGGAGATATGAACTCTCAATAGTGTTATAAAGTCAGAATTGGGAGATATGAACTCTCAATAGTGTTATAAAGTCAGAATTGGGAGATACGAACTCTCAATAGTGTGTTATAAAGTCAGAATTGGGAGATATGAACTCTCAATAGTGTGTTATAAAGTCAGAATTGGGAGATATGAACTCTCAATAGTGTTATAAAGTCAGAATTGGGAGATATGAACTCTCAATAGTGTTAAAAAGTCAGAATTGGGAGATATGAACTCTCAATAGTGTGTTATAAAGTCAGAATTGGGAGATACGAACTCTCAATAGTGTGTTATAAAGTCAGAATTGGGAGATATGAACTCTCAATAGTGTGTTATAAAGTCAGAATTGGGAGATATGAACTCTCAATAGTGTTATAAAGTCAGAATTGGGAGATATGAACTCTCAATAGTGTGTTATAAAGTCAGAATTGGGAGATATGAACTCTCAATAGTGTTATAAAGTCAGAATTGGGAGATATGAACTCTCAATAGTGTTATAAAGTCAGAATTGGGAGATATGAACTCTCAATAGTGTGTTATAAAGTCAGAATTGGGAGATATGAACTCTCAATAGTGTTATAAAGTCAGAATTGGGAGATATGAACTCTCAATAGTGTTATAAAGTCAGAATTGGGAGATACGAACTCTCAATAGTGTGTTATAAAGTCAGAATTGGGAGATATGAACTCTCAATAGTGTGTTATAAAGTCAGAATTGGGAGATATGAACTCTCAATAGTGTTATAAAGTCAGAATTGGGAGATATGAACTCTCAATAGTGTTATAAAGTCAGAATTGGGAGATATGAACTCTCAATAGTGTGTTATTTACATTTACATTTAGTCATTTAGCAGACGCTTTTATCCAAAGCGACTTACATCTGAGGACTAACCAAACGAGTCATCGTGAAGAGACAATAGCAACCCAAGAAGTGCTCAAAATACAAAGTTCAAACATTGCTCAGAGTAGCATAAACCAGACAAGTGAGGATTTAAAGGTTTTTTTTTTTTTTTTTTTTTTTTAAGTTTAAGTTCACTTTAAGTTAAGTGCTCACGGAAGAGATGAGTTTTCAGTTGTCTTTTAAATGTTGTCAGGGATTCTGCATTACGGACGAGGGTGGGGAGATCATTCCACCAGCATGGAACCGTGAATGAGAATGTTCTGGAGAGTGATTTTGTGGCTCTTTGTGAAGGTACCACGAGCCGTCGCTCATTGACTGATCGTAGGCTTCTGGTAGGGATGTAGACTCGTAGGAGCGAGTGAAAGTAGGAGGGAGCTGAACCTGTGGTCAATCTGTAAGCAAGTGTCAATGCCTTGAACTTGATGCGAGCAGCGAGTGGTAGCCAGTGCAGAGAGATGAACAGAGGAGTGACGTGGGCCCTTTTGGGCTCGTTGAAGACCAGACGAGCAGCAGCATTCTGGATCATTTGTAGAGGTTTAGTTGCACATGATGGAAGTCCAGCCAGAAGAGCATTGCAGTAATCAAGCCTAGAGATAACCAGGGCCTGGACAAGAAGTTGTGTTGCATGCTCATTTAGGAAAGGCCTGATCTTCCTGATGTTGTGCAGTGCAAACCTGCATGATCGAGCTGTCTTTGTAATGTGGTCTGTGAAGGTCAGCTGGTCATCAAAGATTACACCAAGATTTCTGACCGACTTTGATGGGGTGATTGAGGAAGAATCTAGCTGGATAGTGAAGTCGTGCTGTGGAGACAGATTAGCAGGGAGGATGAGAAGCTCAGTTTTTGTCAGGTTGAGCTGCAGGTGATGTTCCTTCATCCATGCCGAGATGTCCGCCAGACAGCTTGAGATCCGTACAGCTACTGTGGGATCATCTGGTTGAAATGAGAGGTAGAGCTGGGTGTCATCAGCATAGCAATGGTAAGAGAAACCATGTGCCTGTATGATGGGTCCCAGTGATGTGGTGTAAATGGAGAAGAGGAGCGGTCCATAAAGTCAGAATTGGGAGATATGAACTCTCAATAGTGTTATAAAGTCAGAATTGGGAGATATGAACTCTCAATAGTGTTATAAAGTCAGAATTGGGAGATATGAACTCTCAATAGTGTTATAAAGTCAGAATTGGGAGATATGAACTCTCAATAGTGTGTTATAAAGTCAGAATTGGGAGATATGAACTCTCAATAGT